TCAATAAATCTATTAGTTTCACCATGTGTGGCGTAAAAATGAAATATATTCCTGAACAGATACATATACCATTTAAAGATGAAATATCAGGAGTGTACGCGGCGTGGACAGACTGATAAAAGTTGATACGTTATTTGACCTAAGAAGTACGTCCACAATCATATAAGACTTATTGAACCTGTGAAACCCCATGAAGTATGTTGAATATAACAACACTTTAAAACAGAATTTTATGTTTTGTGTTTCAGCTTGTTCATCTGGCGAAGGATTAGCATGTGAAGGAACCGATGAGTGTTTTTCTAGTCTAGCAGAGGTATGTCATGGGGATATGGTCTGCGGTATGGACGTATTCTGTGACTCACAAGACGACCCTATTAGCTGTCGTGAAGATTATATCAATACTGGCTGTCAGCATGACAAAGCTGTTCAATGGTTAACTACGAATGGTATGTACTAGTCAATTAGATTTATTGCATATATATTCAGTTTTTCTGAATCAGTTATGTACTCATTGTAGTCTATTTTTCTGTCTTTAATTCAAACCGTAGGTAGGTTTAAAATTTTGGCATTTTAAATATTTGCATAGCTAGTGTCCATTAATGACATCTTTTTCTAATACTGGCATAAGTATTCCCGTTGAAATCCATCCTATCTGAAGATTCCTGAAATATTTAATTGTTCCTATTACATTTTTGGATTAATTTTAATTTTTATAGGAAGGTTAGGATAATTTGTTATATTATATTATAAATAATAAAAGTGTTGAGGTATTTTAGTCTAGTATTATAATTATGTTTTGTCTGTACAGGTGTTCCAAACTTCGGTATCAGCACTCACTACGATCTACAAATATTTTTTGATTTGTGGTTATTCGAAGACACAAAGTGTAAGTAGCCCTGAATTTGCCACGTATATTCCGATTATGGGTTGAAATCACATTATCTGTTTCATTCTATTAATAAGACAATCAAAAAGCTACTAATATATACACTCTATGTGATATAGCAATAATTGCAATAGTAAATAATCATCTTCTATTTTATTTTCACATGCACATTGCCCCGAATTTATATTAATGATATTACATGATATTTTATATTTATATCTAGTTTGTACTGATGGTAGAATCAAATGTCATGACGAATGTTTGTTGTACGACGAACTATGTGATTCATCTAAAACACATTGTAAATGTAATGGAAAAAATATCTCAAGAATTATTTCAGAATATCGAATGATGTGTAAGTAGAGTAATTATTAATTAAAGTACAAATGTCTCATACATACTTATATAGTTAATAAATATAAACTTCGATATCTAGTACATTATAAGTATATATATAGCATCTTATTATATCGTATCATCATAACACAGTGTATTTATTCAGCATAAGCAATCACTAAGTACACACTTGTTTTTTCTTTCTCAACTTTCAGACGTGTTCTTGAGATTTCGAGGCGGAAATGCGGGAAATGCTTTCAAGAAAAGCTCACCATATTCGCGTCACTGATATGAATTAGTTTTTCTATATCCATGATGTCGGTGGTGTTGGTGGGGCTTCATACATTATATTCCACATTAGTGATGAGGCAATATGGGCACATGACTGATATACCATTTTAGTAGGCACATAAGACAGCCACAATGACGCTACCCACACGGGATGTATTATTACGCTATTCGTTAATGAGGACAATGTTTAATCCCAGTAGTTAATGTGTATTTTTTTGATCATTTTGAATATATTGGATATAATATATATTTTCATTAAAGAGTAATATTATTACTTGTTAATGAAGGAAGCTATTTAAAAGTTATTGTATATGCTGTATATGTTGGGCTTTTTGTTAGCCAAAATAAATAAGACAAACATTTTAAGTTTTTTGTTCGTTTGTCTGTCTGTCTGTTCACAACATTTTATTGACGTACAAAAATATACATTTTACTTTCAACATTTTACATTAAAATTATAGACATGTTGTATCTATTCGCATTTTCTCCATTGCTAAATTCGTGGAGTTACAAAATAGACTGTACAATTACATATTCGAGCAGTCATATCTACTAAGGAAATAGGAACGACAATTCACATCGCAGATCGGGATTTTAATTGCTATGTTTTATACTAGTTCCAGGTGTACAATAAAATATATTTACAAGGTAAAACAAAAGTCGTAATAAGCTAAGCTGAGTTAAGTGAAATGAACTTACCTACATCAATCGCCTTATATAAGACGATACTGGCGTGTTGATGAACATAAAACGTACAACAGGTACATTGGAATAGATTTATAATAAGCTATGGCTATGACAAGACCAGAATAGTGAGTATCGCTGTTAATTATCATGTCATATGTGTTAGATAGTTTAAACAGTAAATATGTCAAACCAAGGTCGAGTCACGTGTGAAACTTGTGTATTGGTTATATTCACTACTCAATCAGAGTATTAGGTTGCAAATAAACACATTCAAAAGATACCTTCAGTATCACGTGATAGCTAATGAATTATTAATGAGCAAATAAAGTAAACATTGTGCTCTCCATTGTTCAATGTACCTTTACGCAAATCAACTGGACTTCGACGACCATGAGATTAATGAATGTTGTGTTGGCTTTTGTAATAATAACTTTATTTGACATTATTCATTTTAAATAGAACATAGTCAAATGCTATTCTAAGAAAAAAAGAAAGGATGAAAATAAATAAACTGATGACACTGGTTTAGAAAATGGCACTACCGTTATTGTAAATCATGGTTATCTATTGGTTTGATTAGTTATTAATAGTAATACGCATACAAAGTGAATACTTTTTGAATATTCGCCTAAATATGCTTGGATAATACTCGCACTGTCTGTAGTATTTGGTCATTATTGACTCCCTTCGTCTGTTTTTTTATAGCTTCCTAAGCAGAATGTTCGTTAAAAAAGATGGCCGGTTTTCCGTTATTAACTGCCAGTTCTATATGTATATTGCCCATAAAATATATAAACTTTGCTTGTTATCTAACATATTGAAATGATGATTTGAGGTTTGTGCTGACTGTGCCTCATTCTTGCTTCTTTGTGCTGTGGACAATCAGAAAGTGAAATTCATCCTCAACCTTATTAGTACCACACCTTTCACACATTCTATCATCCGCTTTTATTTTGGTCTTCTGTGACGAACTTTCTCTATCATTAAATTATGATCACTAATTCTGAGTTTGCATATATATTTTCTATAAATTGGATTTTTGTCAAGTACTGCTCTGTTTGCAATTCTTTTTTGAATTTACTGTATTTTCTCAATTTATTATTTTTCTCAGATTTAGAGAAATTAATGAAAATTAATTGCACTACTCCACAAATCTTGCTTCTATTTGATCACTTATGTGATGTATGCTTTTCTTGGTCTCTGTTCAGAAATTATTAATTTCACTTTCGCCTATTATTTCTTGTATTGATTTTTTCCATTGTGATTATACAAAAATATTACAGGAAATTACATTTACTAGTTTGTTCATTTTTGTTACATATTTTATACCAATATCTGACCATCATTTTTTAAATGAGAGCTGAGATTGGATGTCTGCCCAATTCCCTACGAACTGATAGGTTTGCTGTCTTGTTAACTTGTAGAAGCATTTTACACAATTTTAAATTTAATTTTTCTATGTATGTTTTATCTGTATAATTCTATGAACTGAACTTCGTATTGGGATTATTACATGGTCAATAATGTTGATCCAAGTTGCTATGATATTGTTAAATGCTTTTAATGTTTTCTTATACAAATGTTCTTTTGCTAGATCAAACTTTCCACTTGGTTTAAATTCTATTTATATTAGTTTCCTAATAGTTATGATTTGTAACTATATCTAGTTCTTCATTTTCATAACAAACACTATACTTATGATTTAATAATTTTCCATTTTTACCTCCGCTGTCATCGCAGATGACCCAGTGGAGCTATTAGTATGGGGGTCTCTTCGGCGTCGTCCGTCCCGCGTCAGGCGTTTTTCTTTACCAATTACTTGACCAATTACATTCATATTTGTACCAAAGTACTTGGGGGTGGTTCTCTGTCAGATTTGTTAAATTCGTGTAAAAATATGCAAATTTGGATTTGTAGTGAATATTTTTGTAATTTTTTGTAATTTTATTTATTTTCGACAACTATAAAAGACACTATAAAAGTTCATAATTGCAACTGCAAGAAACTGTAACTCAAGTGCAATGTTCTCTAAATGAGTGACTATGCATATTACAACCACAATGCCACTTTACTGATTCTTGTTCCATGATAATGAAGACAGCGGAGCTATTTCGACCGTTGGGTCGCTTGTTATTAAAAATCATAATTTTTGTTTTAGACTTTTAGGTTTCACATACTGCAGTAGGATGCCAACTTATTGAACCAATTTTGTAAACTTTCTTCAATTTCTGACACAAAGACAACGTCATAAGCTACTAATTGATTTGTTGTTCAACTTGACTGGTTTACATGACTTATCTAGTTGATAAATTACTTAGGAATAAATTGAAGAGTATTGGGCTGATGTTACAATCCTGTCGTACACCTCTGAGTGATATGAAATCCTTAGTCATTCCATTGTTTCATTTAATATTGTATCTCACATTCTTAGTAGTATTTACGGTAATATAACGGACATTATAACTTGAATTTATGGTTATAACCACACACATGTTGGCCAGGCCCTTATATACACATCAAATCTAAAGTGTGCAGTATATATTTTGCGTATATTAAACATGAAAGGTCACATCTGCATAGCAGGTAAATGTACGTGTAAACGACCGTTTTATTCCGTGCTAAATATAGCATGGTTCACGTGCATCAAAGCTTGTTTGCCGCATACTAGTAATTGGTTCGGTATGCTGAGTGCTACTCGTGGTGAATGTCCTTACATATCACTGGGAAGCGGTCTAGCGATTACAACTTTAGTTTACACAATGTGATCACCGAAAATAAACATTATAGAATGGGTATGGTAAAAATGTTGATATACAAGCATGTTTCACGCAAAGAGCTGTTTACAGAAGAATGTTTATTCGGGAGCAAATGTTAATTGGCTAGGTCGGCACATGGATTAGTACACGTACACATATTGTATGTACTTGATTGACACATACAAATGAAAAGAAATACAGAGAAGTGACGCAAAATGTATTTATTGGTTAGTGATAATTTGGTAAACCAGTCTGGTACGATAATTGCGTAGGCTTGACGGGTAGAGTGAATAAAATAGATAAAAGTGTTACACAGTTAGAGGGGTTGAAGGTTGGTAATTTTTGTACCTGAAACATTGGTATTCAATTAGACCCTTGCTGTGAACTCATCATGTGATATATTTATTAGTGAAGATGTGTTAACTGGGTGATGCACTCTACACTGTCATCATAGGATAACACCTCGATCCGATAAACTCGTAATCTCGGTATAATTTTAAAAAATGGAGAAAAACACGCCATCGAACAGAATCAAACACTTCGATCAAGAGGGACATTGTCAAGAAAATGAATGATATGACAGCATTTATCAAGTATATCATGTCACTTCCATGTGGTAAAGCATATCAAATACACATTACAGTAAGCCAATTAGTCCGTGCACATAGATTGCACGATTGACATCATTGATGAAAAGTAAAAAGTTAGAGGCGCTATGTTAAATTCTCGCAAGCTTAGCTTATCATCACATGCAATACTTTGTTTCCGCTGTTTATATTTTCTATTTCTTACGGTTTATATACAAGCCACGGAGTCTACTATAATGACTCTAAAATCAGTGGCTATGTTACCAGTTACCCGCTAATATATCCATAAGCATATTCTGTAATTGCATGAGACTAAACTGTAACAAGTATGCATGGAACGGCGAACAAAGTTTTGAGAGAGTGGAGAAACTATGCTTCCGCACCTAAATTTAAATTAGTCTGACAAGCCTTTTACATTATTAGGTGTAAATTTTGACGTGGATTTAATTCTGTGTGAGAAAATTAATTTTGATGATAAAGCCTTGCAAGTTAAGTCACTCCTGTCAAACTGGGCTTGGAGACCTTTGACATTATGTGGCAAGGTGACAGTAGTGAAGACATTAGCGTTGTCAAAAATGGTACACATATTATCTGTGTTACCTCCTATGCCAGAAAAACAGACAAAGTCTATTGTGGACGCTTTTTATGAATTCATTTGGAATAAAAAACAAGACAAAATTAAAAGTCTTCGTTTGTGTTGTGAATACCACAACGGCGGTTTGAGCCTAACACATTTACCATCTTTTATCGAATCGCCTCATGTCTCCTGGGTAGATAAGCTGTTATCTAGCCAACATGACGAAAGTGGCCGGAAACGGCTATTTCAAGCTTATACTTATATGGATTGCTCTTGTTTTAAAGTTTTCAGTCAGAAACAAGCCGCCGACTTTGCTGAAAAAAGGTTAAAGTCAAACCCTTTTTGGTACCATGCTTTTCTGAGTTGGTCTAAACAATTACATGTACAATCCCTTACTC